GAAAAAACTGGTATTTTACTACGGAATATGCGTTTTTAATATAGGAGGTATAAATTATGCTGTGATATTAAAAACTAAATTATGCATTATCGCATATATTATTCGTTTTATGTGAAATTATGCAATCACATAAAATCATCGTCCCTGAATCGGTCCAGTGAACAAAATCAAGTAACAATGATTATTTTATAAACCGTCAGTTAGTAATTTAGTATGTAAGATTTAATTTATAATACATTAATGTAAGTTTTGATTTCTTTTTATATAAAGTACAACTAATGTAAATAAATAGAAGTGACCAAAAATCATTTATTTTGAACTACAATATTAAAACTGAGAATCAGAAAATTTGTCGTTTGGAACACAATCCTAATACTTTTAAGAGATGTATCATTATTTAACGGGAGAAAATGATCGGTAAAAGTGGCAATCTTGCGTTCTTCCAAAGTAAAAAGTTCAATAAAAGACTAACACATAAGCAATTTTGAGAATATAAAAATGTAGATTTGACGTGTTATTATTTTATTTTTTATTTTATTTTTTTAAAAGGTGTTATTATTTTCTAAATAAAAATTTGTGTATTACGAAAATCACGTGATTTTATATATGGTTGCGTAAAAAAAATAGGATCATTTTAAAAACTTTGTTTTAATAAAATAAACAACTTTTATTAAGTTAAAAAAGGTTGAGTATTCAACTACATTTTTTGTTATTTTCCATTTAATACAATCAACATATTTTTTGGATTATTAAAAAATTAGCATTTTGTTGTGTTTTATAATTGTAAACATGTTTTAATTTAAAAATATAGTTAAATATCTTTTAAATAAATGAAAACAACATAATCTGCCACAATAGAAAATTCACAAATTGATGCGCAGTTTGCATAATTATGAAACTTTGTGGCGCAGCAATTTTGACGAAATATATGGTTGCGTAAAAAAAAAAATAGGATAAATAACTAAGTGGCGGATCATTTTAAAAACTTTGTCTCTAGGGTGCGTTCGAAATTTTTTAACCGGCCAAAGTAAATTTTCAGATTTAAATTTTATAATCACGTGATGATCTGGGATCATTTTTATTGGCTACTATTTTAACCTATAAACGGTTAGTATCTATTGGCGTAACTGTACACAAATTACCAAAATCGATATTTTCATTTTCAAGAGATGGCTAATAAAAATAAAAATAAAATTTTGGATTATTAATAATTGAAAAATTTTTTATTTTATTCATTTATCAAAACTTAATTCTTATTTATTTGGTTGCAACACAAATTAAATTTTAACTTTTGAATATCTTACAAAAAGAGTTAAAAAAAATCGGACGGGCTGGTTCCTTTATAACCATATTGGGTAATATCAAAAACGATTTTATGGGAAAATATGCCCGTAAATTATGGCACGCCGGACTGGACAGATGTTTAAACGTAAAAGCTAAATCATTTGACGTTTAAGGTTAACTGCGAAATTCAAATGATTTGCTGTACCGACAAACTGTTTGACTTTATAGTTAAATTCTTTGCCAATACTGTCAAACAGTTTGGCGATATGAAAATAATTTTCCATATTTGGTTAAAATTCAAATGGTGCAATTTAAGTAATAATTTTCTTTTTAAAAGTCTCGTGAAATCCTACTACGGACATTAATGTCCAAATAACCACCATAATTAAATGGACATTGGTGTCCAAATAATCAATATGCTAAATGTACCATCAATGTTCATTTTATATGTGGTTATTTAGACACCAATGTCCATTTAACCATGGTGATTATTTGGACATCAATATCCATTTAACTATGGTGGTTATTTGGACATTAATGTCCGTAGTTTATTTGGATACATAAAAAAAAAATTAACCTTGCCTCTAATATATATAATATATATAGTACGGAATTTTTGAAATTTTTGGAAAAATGATCAACTGGTTTACCGTACCTAAAATTTTATAACACTCCCCCTGAATTAACCCAATTTTGCGATCTTGTGGAACGTTGCTTGAAACAAGTTTCTATTCTGAAGAATAGAAATCTGTTAATTGAATGGGTAAGTTTTATATTTATTATTTTATTTTATTTTTTTGCAAACTCAATACGTAAAAAAATGTTTTTATTAAACTAGAATTATAGTTAAAATTGTGGCACAATCTGCATGTGTAACGTGTAAAATTTTTTATAGCCTTTCGATCATATTTACTATATAATAAAGCCATTATAAATTCTTTCAGTTTTCTGTGGGAATAAAAGTCGGAATTGAAATTCCAAAGGATCAGTTAGTACTTATTACGTTTTAATGTCCATTATATACAAAAGTAGACTAATGTAATTATTCTATTTATATTATTCTATTTATAATTAGTATATAACATCAAATTAATTCGTAAAATTGGCTGGTAAGACTGCCATTTTGGTGGCTTATGTACAAATGTAGAAGAATTATCGTAAAAAATAACAATATTACTATGGATTAGTCTTTCCCTATCGTAATAAAGAATCTTCTTTGATTCCATTATTTAATTTGTAGAATTAGAAGTTAGTTTTAAATACTTGCTTAAGATTCAGAATTATCGACGAAATCTATTCTTATTATGTTTTTCTTATTATGTTTTAAAATAAAACGAATATAAACCGCAAGGGAAATAAGACTTTCGCGGAATATTCTCTTAATTTAGTAATATACGAATGGCTTTCTCAAAACCTTTATGAGAATAAACTTTATAAAAAGGGTCAATCACTTATAAAAAGGCAGTAATTTACCATATAATATATTTTCATTATGATTATTATATTTCAGCACAAAAAATGTATGTTATTGTTATTTTTATATATCTAAAAATAGTTTTTTTTCATAATAAATATTGGTTGTTTGGCCGCTTTATTTGATCTCTGTAGCGCCAGATCCCGGAGTTGGTTTTATTTTTTTTTCTTATAACAAAAAAATTTTTTTTTTATTTTTCCCTTATAACAAAAAAAATTTTTTTTTATTATTGTTACAATTTTAACAATCTGATCTGTCTTATTCCCGAAATTTGTTACACAAATTAGTTCTTACAAATTTTCCTTGTTTGCTTTATTTTACTTTTTAAGGATTAGAATTGTGTAAAAATTGCTTAACCATATTCAGTAAAACTTTGAAAGGAAAATTAAACGTAATGTATCAAAACATCCCTTGCGCAATCATGAAATAGAAAGGTGACCTTAACTTTTCAGTTGTTCGTTTAAGCTTCGTGTAAGCAGGCACCACTTCTTATTTATATCTACTGTATCAGATCAATTAAAAGTTATAAACTTCTCGACTCATGCAAATTAGTTGCAAAAATTTTAATAGCGGTATTTAAATGCTTTTGTTTGAAATATAAAATGAAATATAAAAAAAAAAATTAATTAATGTTTCACAACATATGTATAATGACATAAATTGATAGACTGCAGTCCGCAGCTTTTAACATTGTAATACATTCAAAAAACCGCAGTATTGTTCGTTCGAATAAATCCCTAATATACATTAACTGTATTAGCTATAATTGTTTTCTTACTACTTCACTGCTTATTACTATCAAATTATTATCATAAGCATTTTAACGAATCAACAAATTTTTTACTTTATTCCTTAACGTTAATATGTCAGGTTGGTTTGGTGCTACAGTTGTAATCGTTACACCTGCTGCATTGTAATACGTTAAAAATAATATAAAATCAGATCTGCCCTAAATAAAAATTCTTTTAAACGTTATTTATCTATTATAAATTCTACCAAAATGAAATCGGTAACTATTGATTTTTATATCAGTGAATTAAATTAATTAAACTGATTATTATTACCATTTTTTAAAATTAGCATCCGTTAAGTCGTAACTTAAGAAGAAATTGTTTTTTAATCAAATCAATGCAAATGAAAATATTAATAGATTGTGGATTAGATACTTCTTACTTTTTAGAATTTCCACCTCGTGATATTATCTGGTCAAAAGCACAACAACATGCATCAGTTTCTGTTGAAGTTTCTTCCAATATATCAGATCATTCGGATCGTACAGTACATCATCTTCTAATGATGCTATATCAGAAAATAAAAAACACGACAGGAACGTCGTAAATTGGATCATTTAGTAATTGATTCAGCTAGTGATGGTAGTGGAGGTGCAGGACTGCAGGCGTTGGAGTTCTCAATTTTTAGTGGAAACGCTTGAATTTAGTAGCATCGATTGGAATAGTATCGATTTCATATTTATTACTAATTATAATTATATGTTGGCTTCATATTATCGAATATACTGATTCCAAAGGAAAGGTTTATTCTACGGCGGAACCTACAGTTTATTTGGACAGTAAGATAACTTTTAAATATTAAATAATTTAAGCTATTTCAATTTATTAATCGTATTTTTTTTATAAACAGATGATGATGGAATTGAAGCATTTCTTTGGTGATAGTGTACTTCAAAGCCTGGGTTTTACGAATATTTTACAAATGTCACTGCAGATTGGAATGTTGCGCGATCTTTATATTCAGTAGCAGACATTCAATCTTGCATTGATAAAGTGAGAATTGTAAGATTTGGAGAACATCTAGCGAGTTTTGCTAATATATAGTATATATCCAGTAATTTTTCGTTATAATTTAATAATATGTTCAGTAAAATTTGTATGAACTCGAAGTTCTGCATACGTATATAGCTCTGGCGTAGTTTCTATATATTATGGCAACTATGCTGGATCCCGTTAGTGTAACAATGAATGGAATTGTGTGGAATGCCTATGGTACTATTCCCGCAAGGGAATAGTGCATGCAGAGGGCACAGAACGCGTTCTGTGTAACATAAAAAAGGCAGATGACATCATATACAACGCGCTTAGCGCGTTGTATATATTTACTTTGTTATGCATGCTCGCTTTTACGTGACGCGCATGCATGGTAAAAATCATATATATAGACCCTTTATTTTTTTTATCTAGTTTTTTTTTCAATTATCGCAAAAATTATATTTTTTACATATTCACGTTGTCCTTTGACTCCATCCTACTGCATTGAAAGTTTGCGTAGCAAACTTTCATCCAGACGTTCCCCCATTGGTATTATTGGATATTCTGTTGGTCTTGAGCATCTTACCGATGGTGGGTTGCACATCCATGTTCTTATTAAGTTAGATAAGAAGATTGATCTTCGGGATGGTAGGTTCTTTGATATTGTAGATGGTGATGGAGAGACGGTGTACCATCCTAGCGTGGAGGAGTGTAAAAACTTTAATGCCGCCCGGGATTATATAAGAAAGGAATATAAGGAGAATCTTGATGCTGGTCATCAGAGTGGTGATTTGTTGGAGTGTTGGCCTGAGGATGTTGCTGACGACGGAAGGCAGAAGAGAAAGGCGGCGTTCGATGAAGAGGAGTTTAAAGAATTTGTTAAGAAAGCGAGGTCTAAGACCGAGTTTATTGACATCATGCTTCAGGAGAGGAATCCACTGGCACTGGCGCAAAACTTTAATAATATTATAATGTTTGCAAGTTATGTGTTTCCCGCTGCTGTGCGGGAGACATATCAACCAGGTGATTGGTTTAATGGATTTGTGAATGATGATTGGCTAGTCCGTCTGACAAAGGAGTGTAAGAGTAGAATTGAAGCAGTATCTCGTGGAGAGAGTGTTAGGAGTATGTATATTTGTGGGGAGCCTAGAACTGGAAAAAGCACTTGGGCACGGATGTTGGAGCCTAGTGCTACATGGTTTTGTCGTGGTATATTGAACTTTGATAAATATAGAAATGGGGATAAGGTATTTATTTTTGACGATTTTCATGGGAGTATGTTGAATGGAGGAGAGTTAAATGTAAATTACTGGGAATATAAGGATTTTTTTGGTTGTCAGGATGAGGTATCACTTAGAGATGCGGATTGTAGAACAAGGCTGATTAAAGGGCCGTGGTTTTTTATTTTTTTACATAATAAAAGTTGGAAAGATATGGGTTGGGAGAATGATTATATAGTATTTAACAGTTTGCGGGCATATTGTGATTGTATTAATTTAGAAAATAGAAAATTTTATACCCAAAACCGAAAAATTTAAAAATCCTGACACTCATTATACCAACACTTTATTTATCATATTTTTTCTTTTATAGACAGATGATGAAGGAATTGGTGCATTTCTTTGGTGATAGTGTACTTAAAAGTCGAACACATTCACAACCTGGATCTACGAATATTTTTACCGGTGTCACTGCAGACTGGAATGTTGCACGATCTTTATATTCAATAGCAGACATTCAATCTTGTATTGATAAAGTAAGACCTGTAAGATTTGGTGAACATCTGGTGAGTCTCGCTGATACACATATTTTCAGTAATTTTTTTTTTTAATATAATTCTAACATACTCAATAGAATTTATATGAACTCGAAGTTACTGCATATAGTTCAGGTTATTGTCTTGGTAGTGCTAATTGGATGATTGATTGTGGAGGTGAAAAGGTAACTTAACATTAAAGATATGGATATGTTACTTACTAATTAATTATTTACTTATTATAAGAAAAAAATTGAATCTTTTTTAATAGATTAGTATAGTGTCATCATCATCCACGGTACAAAATATACATCCTTTACCTTTTGATGAGACGGTATTAAATAATGCTGATGTTATCATTCTTAGCGACTTGCGTGATAAGGATGGAGCTAGATTTGAAACCATTCTTATTGAAATTGGAAATTGTGTTGGTACGAATAAATATAATTTAAGATTAGCATGATTTAATAACATTCTTTTAAATATTATAACTAATTAATTAATAATTATAATTATTAGCCAACACTCTAAAAAATAAAGGAAATGTTTTATTCCCATGTACGATGAATGGAATTATTTTTGATATAATAGGTTTTTTGAGTCAACATCTAAGGGCCGTAGGATTACGTGGTATTCCCTTCTATGCAGTATCTCCTATAGCTGAGGAATCCCTCAAATATTCTAATATATGTGGGGAGTGGTATGTAATTAATTGTTCCCTATAAAAAAAAAGTCTGGGAAAAACTTCGATAAATGATCATTGTTTTGAAAATTTTTTATACAATAATTGATATTAATCATGAAACAAGAACCAGATATTTGTTAATACTATATTTATGTCATTAGGATGTGTACCGAGAGACAGCAAAAAATGTACTTGCCAGATAATCCGATGCATCATCAAGACATGATTGAGCAATCGTTATTATATTATGCATCTAGGGCTGATAGTTCATTACAGGAAAAATATCAAGAACCATGTGTTGTCTTCGCTGGACATCCGTCATTACGTAGAAGTGCAGCCATTAATTTCATTAGAAAGTGGGGAAATAATTCAAACAATTCAATAATATTTACAGGTTTGTACATTGTAATAATTATTATTATATTACTTTTTCGTGTGATTAATTAATGAAAAATTTAAAAAGAATCCGAGTATGATTGTGAGGAGGCGATGTCAGCGTTTGAAGGTTTACAAATAAAACCTATATATCTTCCAATTGACGATCAATGAGGTAACAAATATACTGAGAGAAAAGAAACCTCAACATGTTTTGATTCCTCAAAAGATTATAAAAGAATCGGGAAATATAAGGCCAAATTTACCGAACTCATTAATTACTTTATATGAGTGTTTAGATATCGTTAATATTTCTATTAATTCACAATTTGTCAGGACTGTTATGACAGAAAATGTAAGTTTGATGTTTAATAATTATTTACACATAATTTGTATGAATTCTCTAATAAAATAGTTTTATTGTTATTTAAGCTTGCTTCAAATATTGAATTGGTTAATCTTGGAAAAGATTCGCTAATAGCATCATTGAATGGAACAATTAATATTCATAATACAAAAACATCATTAACTTCAGCAGAAAATCAATTAAATCAACAAAGATATGTTTGTGGGGAATTTGATGTCTCAAAACTTATTAATGAATTAACTGAACAAATAGTAAGTTTTAAACAAAATAAAATCTTTTTTTTTTTAATAATAAAATATATTAATAATTTTCTTTAATTTTATTAGTATGGATGTAGAATAGACGAATTTGAAGAAGATAAGAGAAATTCAAGTTATAAAATTAGTTTAATATCACCAAAAGCAACGATTTATTTGAATAATGAAAATTTTTAAATTATTACAACTGATAATCAAACTAGGATTAAATTGACAAAGATCTTGATCGAACAATTAATCGTACCGTATTATGAAATGTATTCAAATAAATTATATTAATAAAGTAATTAATATTGTGATTTGAAAACGTAAAATTTTTATATTTTACAAATTAAAAGCTAAAAATACAAAGTGATTTTTTTACATGAAATTTATTTTAAACAATTAAAAAGTTTATTATAATAATAAAATAATAAAATTTCACAAGAAATGAATAATTTCATTATTTTTGCGAGAAAAAGAATTTCTCATGGAGCAGAAAATTTTTAAAAATTTTATCCGTGAATATGATACATTTACCGGAAATAAAAACCCACGGAATAAATTTTTTATATGCAGCCGAACTCCGAACTGGGGGACAAATTTTTTTTTCAAAGTCTTTTCATCTAAAATCATTTTTTTTTTTTTTTAGAGATCTTAGATGTTTAGTATAATTAACATAAATGGCAGATTACAAGCAAAATCGACTTGGCATTATGGCTATTTTTTGCCACTATTGAAACTATTAGATCTCTAAAAATGTTTGATGTTTTTACAGTAAGAAAATAGGTTATCAGTTATGCATACATAATCATATTAGTAAAAATTCTTAATATTTTATAATAATATCTATTAAAATCAATGATTTAAAACTTTTTTTATATTATTTATTTGATGGGGGAATAGTCGAAGACTGTCTAGCATTAGGAATACTGTTGTGACCAATAGAAAGTAATGATATAGTCAATACTGTAATTATTAATAATTGTAATTAAAAAACGCAAATCATTATTTATATAAGTAATTAATAATATATTTGTGGATTAATTTATAATATAGATTTGATTATCTGAAAATATAAGTCGATTTGTTTGTTATTATTGAGGCATCCCAGGTAAAGCTAGTGGTATATTATTTTATTTTATTCGCAATCACACGGGAAAAATGTAAAAAAGGTTAGGACAAAATACATCATCATGTTGAATCTTTAATTTGATGGAGGGGCTTAATAGGTTTCTCTAAAAGATTATTAATATAAATAAAAATTTTTTTCTTTGGAATAAAAAAATTTTTTTTTTTTATATATATATATGAAAAGATATAGTGCATGTTGTGTTTACCTATGGGGTATGATACGCACCAAAAAGGCAATTAAAATAATTTACTCATTTAATATGGAATTATTTTTGGCTGGGGTTATGAATTAACATAATTTTAATTTTATTTCCTAGATTTACTCTGTTATCATCTTGCATTGTTTCAAATTCAAAATTTATGGTGTATTACTGCGGTTCTTTCTTTTTTTTTTTAAAAAAAAAATGAAGTGTGATGGTGAGTTCTACGGGATGTAATTGAAAGTCAGATCGATACTAAAAGTAGTTGAAAGGGCATCATTTTGTGAAAATGAATTTAGTGAATTGAAATATACTGTAATTGATACGTTTATATTGTTTATATTTCACAATTTCACATATTTCTCTGTTCTATAAATTAATTATTTATATAATAAACATTTATATAGTCGAAGATCATAGATAAAAAAATTTTCATTGATAAGATAATGACTTCATGACTTCATAAAGAAATTTAATTATTATTAAAATTAAAATATTTTTAGCATTATTACTATTTTATACAATTTTATTCAATTTTATTCTCAGAGATTTGTTTCCATTCAAAAGTCGGGATTTATTCCGAGGGTTTAAAAGTCATACTGGGGTGATAAAATATTCGTACCCTAAATAAAATTTTAAATTTATTCTTACATCGTTTTTGTTTAGTTTGTTTATACTATAAATAATTTCTTTTTAAAAGCGTTCCAAAGAAATTGGTTACATTTATTTTTTTTTTTTAATACAGAAAATCTCGGCTAAATTTTTTTTTTTACCGCTTTTTTAAAGTTTTCAAAGTTAGAACCCATTTTTGCTAAAGGGAAATTCTAGTTACTTTTTGATTACTTTTAATTTTTTCGACACAATCATATAATAAGTGTTACAAATCCATTTTTTACGTTCATTTTATTTCCAAAAATTATTTTAATTTTTTTTTTTCCGGATTATTCATTTATATTACATCCGTGAATATTCGTATAAATTTAATTATCATTCACTAATATATTTTTATCTTAAAATAAAGTATTTCCTATTCAGAAACGAGGATACTGGATTATTTATGTACAGTATGTCACAAAAAAAAATCGGAAAATCAATGGTTCAAATAAAAAAAAAATTTCACGTGATTTGGAATGATCTTATTCAGAAATTATAATCGGAGCTATCAAAATAATTATCCGAAAAAAAAATTTCATGAATTATCACATTTTAACGTACATAATGTACATGAAAAAAAAAGATCGATATTTATCTAAACTAAAAAAATTCATTTTATAATAAAAACTTTTTTTACAGTAGACATGTATGATCTTTTATTTGTATGATCTTCAACTAATAATTTCCTTTTTTATATTTTCTTTGAAGTGGTTCTAAAATAGGCTAGATAAAAATTGATACCGGTTATCCCTGAGTCAGGACCGAGTCTTCAGATTTTTTTTTATAAAAAGAGGTATTTTCGTTACCGGTTTTATTGAAAAAAATTAAAATTTCTTAATTTTGTGCTATAACCATTAATAATAACCTAATTTATTAAAATACAACAATATTTTCAAAATCTTGAATATGAAATTAAGATATTAAAATATATACAAATACGTCGATTTCCCACTTAATTTGAATCTCATAATTTATTTAAACGAATTGAATTCTGAATCGTTCAAAGACACGAATTTTAAACTTACACTTAAACGTGTATTACTGCTATTATTACGAAACAATATTATCAAAAAAATTTTTAAGCTATTCTTTTAGAACCTAAAAACAGAAACGCCTAGATGTGCAAACATTATTAGTCCATTTTTTTTAATCATTTAAAGAATTCAATAATAAAAATAGTCTTTCGTGTTACAGAATAGGATTTTTTTTAGAAATTTTCTTCTCTCGAAAAAATATTCTTTATTCCATTAATTCAATAATCTATCAAAAAAAAAAAAAAATAACTATGAATATTAATAATTCTCTACCAAGTAGTTTTAGTAACAATGTTTACGAATCCAATTCTCAAACAGCTGTTACCCAGCCTTACGATACATATACGCCTGTCACGTATAACAATAACGTTAACGTAATTTCTGATCAGAACAATGACGCCACTATTCCTCCTGATCACGCTTCGTTTAATCACTATCAACAACATATCCAGCAATCTGGCATTTCTAACAACAATGCTACTACTAGTAATCCTACTATTACTTCTGACCATAATCACTACCACAACTATCAACAACACATGTCCAATGTCGATACAAACAATAACGTTACCTTTTCTTCTAGTAATAATAGTAATAATCATGGCGCTTTCACTCATCATAACAATCAACAATCCAATAACGTTTTTTCGCCACCGCAATCTTACAACAATCAAAATCAACCTAGTAATCCATCACAATCAAATATTCTTCCTCTGCTTAATTCGTTTGGTATTAATATTAATTCTCCTCAGGCAACTATTATTATTATACCTACAACTAATTCGGATATTCTTCAACGAGTTCTTGCTCGGTTTCAACAATAAATTCTAACGTTCAATGAATAGGATTTTTCCCATTTGATAATATTTATTTCTTTTTTATTTATTTCTTTATATCTTTATATTTTAACATAATGGTATGGAGGAATATAAATGAAAAATTTTTTCATGGAATAAAGAAATTTTTTTAGATATATGAAAAGATATAGTGTATGTTTTACTCTTAACTAACAATAAAACCAGCTCTATTTCGATAAACAGTTTAAAATATTTTAACAAATTATTGAATAAATACATTATTATAAGATTTATAAAAATCTAAAAAAAAAAAAAAAAAAAATACCGGATATTTATTATTATTATTTTTAAAATATATTTGTTCAATCTTAAAATTTACCANTAGTTTATATGTCATTGTAAATTTTTATATTAGGCAATAACAAAATAAAAATTTTCAAATCTGTTAGAAAAAGTTTATATTAATAATGTATAATATATTTTTATTTAAGTCAATAAAAGATATAATTTGAAAATTTTTTTTTTATGTAAATATTTGTTAACGTCCCTACCTAACAAAATTTGTTTTTTTAAAAGTCGGTATTTTTTAAATAATGTGAAACCATTCTAGGGTTTACTTTATAATTATATTTATACAGGGGGTAAAATATCGGACCCATGATAAGCTCGTGCCCACTCAAGAACATGATACCTAATTTTAACAGTTTTTTTTATATAAAATATTTAATTTTTAAATAATTAACGTGCTATTTATATAACCAATATTTCAATCCACCCTTGTTATACCTAATAGGCTGCAAAATAATCGAACACTGCAGTTTTTATAATAAACTCTCGCTATTAGTAATCACAAATAATCACGAATTTTTTAAAAAAAATTTTTTTATGGTAATTATAGGGGGTAGCACAATTTTGAAAAGCGCGATAATTTTGGGAGAATTAAAAATATTTGGGCTCTATAAGTACGTACTAGTTAAGATGAAGAAATGACACTGTTGACACTATATATTTATTACAAAATATAACATTATGGAGAAAAATAAAAGCACGCTACCCGTCCATACAAGATAATTCGTGAATCTCTCATCGTCAAGAATACACTTTAAAATGCAAAAATGAATAATTGGGAATATTAAACTTAATTTGCATATTAGGAAATAATAATTTGTGATAGTTTTTTATGATATTCGCACAAAATTCGATTAAAATATGGAATTCCAGAACTAATCCATATGGAAGACCGATCTACTTAAGGCTGTAGTACAGATAAATTATAAATAAGTCGTACTGTATATATACGGGAACAGGAATTTTTTTCGCGAGAATTTTAATTTCTAAGTTCCTTGACGATATTCTTACAATCTACTTGGTATTTATATAAAGAGTGTAAATAATCTTCGTCCTTTTTGTATTTCGGGCCTGTTAACCAAAATGGTAACTTAACAACGGAAGTAAAAATTGACTTATTTTGAGGTCGTCTAAAAGCGGGACAAAGGCACATGATTTAGCATTTTTTACAAACTGACTATTGAAAATCATGTGTATTTTTAGCCTGCTCTGCACTTAACTGTTAAGGAAAAAGTGGATTTTGAGTCGCGGTTACAAGTTACAACGTATAGTAGTGCGTAAATGCATTTTATGTAAAATTTTCTAATAAATAACGCATGTACTGTTAAATATACTCTATTTGTGTATCAGTATAATTATTTTTTCTATTACAGTATTGTGAAACTGAAAATTTTCTAAACTTACGCGTTTCTTTACAAACTTCCTTTTATTATGAGTTATTTACTAACTCATAATATTTCTTTTTTCAAATCTGCCTGATTAAGTAAATTAACAATACTTTTCTTTTTGAAATTTCTATATCGATTCGTTTACTTTAAAAATTTTTTATCATCCAATTAGTGTCTAATCGATAGAATATGATTTTTAACCGACTTAAAATTCGAATATTAAAATATATTTTTATTTGAGACTTATAATCTAATAAAAATAATAGGCTTGGTTGGTCGTTACAAATTAGGTAGTCTTAATGTGGTAGTATAGTATAGTATGAAATTATACAAATTTATATGAAAGATAAATTTTATATGTATAATGCTCCTGAAAAGGGTCGGCCTAGCTGGCCCATACTATAAATCTAGTTTACAGTTTTTAAAAAAAATTAAATAATATTTTATTTAAATAATGTAAGAAATAAGATAAAATGGTATACAGGTTATTTTTTGCGATAGGACTAAATATTTCTACTGTAGCAACTACTCATTATGTTAGAATATAAAGAAATAAATGAGAATAAATAAAGAAATAGAATACTACATGGTTATACATTGAATGAAATTCGAAAGATATTATTTACCACTAATAAATCAAAATTTTATCGTTGAAACCTTGAAGAAGGATTATTCAAAAAAGAAAGAACTTGCTGAATATCCGAATTAGGTATAATGATAAAATTTGTCTGAGGAGAATTAATGGTAATGTTAAGCGAAAGTGGAAACATAACAGATTGAGGTGAAGAAAATTGCGGGGGTGAATCATTATTAGACGAAGATTGCTGATTATTATTGTGATTAGTGTTGTTTGAATTGTGATGATTATTATCAGTGGGCTGTTGATAATTGTGATGGTGATTAAGACCAAGAATAAAAGAATCAGTGTTGTTAGAGATGGCGGTTTGATGAATATATTGTTGATTATTAGCATCATGTTGATGCTGATGATTAGGTGAAACAACATTGTGTTGCTGATATTGCTGATTAAGATTAGGTGAAGAGACATTGGTTTGATCAAGAGAGGTAGTAACGTTATTGTTTGGTTGCCGACCGGGAGAGATAGTGGCGTTATTGCTATAGTAGTTAGAAATGTATTGTTGATAGTTAGCATCATATTGCTGCTGGTGATTGGGTGAAGCGACATTGTGTTGCTGATATCGCTGATTATGATTAGGTGAAGAAGCATTGGTTTGCTGATTAGGAGGTGTAGTGACATTATTGTTTGACATGGGTTGCTGACCGGAAGAGATGGTGACGTTATTAATAGCATCATATTGCTGTGGATTAGGTGAAGCTACATTGTGTTGCTGATATCGCTGATTATGATTAGGTGAAGAAACATTGGTTTGCTGATAAGGAGAGGTAGTGACGTTATTGCTATAGTTAGAAATGGCGTTACTATAGTTAGCATCATATTGCTGTTGGCAACTAGGTGAAGCGACATTGGGTTGCTGATATCGCTGATTATGATTAGAAACATTGGGTTGTTGATTGGGAGAGATAGTGTTTGACATCATGTGATCAGAAATTGTGTTATTAACGTTATTGACAGACATGGCAGGCAAATATGTATCGTGCGTCTGAGCAACAGTTGTTTGCGAATTTGATTCGTAGACATTATCACCAAAATTATTTGAAGAATTATGAGTGACCATAGTTTTTATAAGTTATTGAATTGATGGAAATGATGAATATTTTTTTTTGAGGGAGGAGAATTTCAGAGGTTTTTATATTTTTTTTTCGAGAGAAAAGAATTTCAGAGGTTTTTATAAGAAAAAATCTTGTAAATACATCTATTCTTGTGTAGCACGAGAAGCTATTTTTGTTATTAAATTCTTTAAAACGATTAAAAGAACGGACCAATTGTGTTTTGCATGCTATTATTTTTCTTGCGTTTTGGCACGTTCGTCTCTTACTGATAAGACTTGATTTGTTAGTATCAAATTTTAAGTACGCGTAAAAACAATAAATTTCTTACATTATCATTGGATACTCACTCTACCGTTATCTTGATTTCAGCTGGAATTAATCAACAAGAGAATCAGTTTTTTACCTTATCAAGAAATATTTTCACTAAATAACTTTACTAAAAGTGATTGGAGGAAAATATTGATAGGATAGAAGAAAGATTTCAAAAAATAGATTATGATCAAACCAGTTTCTTTTTGTAATAATTTTAAATATTTCGGATAAATGATACTCATGTATCTATAACTTGGTTAAACTCATAAATAATACAAACTCCATGTAAGTCGTGTAGTATAAATTAAAATATAATATAAAAACTATAATAAGGTGTGTTTAATCGACCGTTCACCGATAAAATAAAACAAAATAAAATCTGAATGTTTACGTTAATTTTACAGTGAGGGTTATTTTACTCTTTAAAAGCGCCACACGTAAATACTGTCATGAGTGGAATGGTGCCGTTGAATTATAAAATTTTAAATTGGTAAAGTAGTATTGGAACACGTGAAACCACATGATGCAAATATTGAGTGTTTTGAGTATAATCTTGATTCATTGTTTTGGCATCATATTATTGTCGGTGTTCTTAAAGAGATGTCGTGGCACGAGCAAAAAAACAAGGAACAAAAGGTATTATCGATAATAAAAGGGTCTTTCATTTCACTTCGAGTGCAATTGCTAGGAAAGTTTTTACAATAACAGCGGCAGCGGACTTCACGATCCGTAAGTAAGTTATCTAAAGGTCGCTTCGAAAGCCCGGAGGAAATAGAGGTAGTCGCAACTTCCGTTCACTCATTTTTCTCAAGGTGAAAGAGGTAGATTCAAATGTTTATTTAGTAACCGCAGTCGTCATGCGCAGTGCTTAGGAATATGATCTCATCCATAATTATTTTGTTTCATTGGAGGCGAGTAATTCGATTCCAACCTGTATTTTGTTGTCATGATGATCTAATTACGTCAAAAACATACAAAACGTTTCTTCGACGGAGTCCTATTCTTCCTAAATATGTTTTTCGTATTTTCTTATGGTAACAACATAGTTGATTCCTAAACGGTTCCTACGTATCTTTTTTGCCATTTTCTTCGTGTTCGTGTTCATAATATTTCTATATTTCTTTTCACGTGTGAGCAATGGTAATGTCGATAAATCGAATATACATTAGTCATTGTTAATTATTGACGAAGTTCTAACGTTTTTATCGTCCAATTCTTTCCAAAACTATGAAAATATTGGAAATTATGCTTTTTGGAATTGAGCCAAAACGTAGATGTATTGATCTATATGCTTTGATGCATTAACGGAGTTCTATATTGGTTGTGTTTATTGGTACTTGTTGCTGCAATATCTAACTTTAAGTAATTTTTATAAATAAATGCACTGCCATGTGTGTTGCAACTGCAGCCGTTCGAAGGAAAGTGTGAGAAGGGCTATTTTTTTGCAAGGTTTATAGTCTTAAGACTGCTTGTATAGGTTTGAAGTTCGGGTTTGCAATTATGTTAATTATCGTAAAGACTTGTTAATTTTAAGAAATACTTTTATTTACTGACTCGCTTGCTAGTTATCTATACCATCTTCTATTAAACACAAAAAAAAAGACGAGAAAAAATGATGAAACAAACTAAAAGCGATAATAGAGTATAAATAGTTGATGTAATAATGTAATACAGGTGTAGGTTGGACGTGAAGGATCGTTCCAAAAAATTACGAGAATGAATTTTTTCATCAAAAATTGAGATCAGGTGTGCAAATTTATTTAATTCTTCGATTGGTATTTTTGCTTTATCATTAATATTATTTCTTATGACTCTTACAATTCCTTGCTATAAGAGCGTAGTGATAAACTTTTAGTGATAGTATTAAAAATTTCCTTCTTAAAGTGATACCGCTCATTTTTTTTCTTCTATAAAATATTGTTTAACGACTACTTGTTCATGATAACCAAATTTGGATTTAAGGAAATTTAGTAAGTCATCTTTCTTTAAATTTCTTTCGGGTTTTTAAAAGCTTCTCTGAAAAATTTAAAGGCAAGTGAATAGACATTTTCACCTGATCGAATTGCAAGGAAAATGTCCCACAAGATGTCTCCTATTTCATTTAATCGATGCTCAAACATATGGAGTGCATCTATAATAACATTATCTTTCAATGAGAAACCTAGATTTATAAGTTCGGCAAGGCGTGAAATTACAATTTCGACCAATCGGTGCGGGGTGGGAATAGAATGAGAAGTTCTCCTTGCATGTCCAAATCATTAACGTTATTAGAAATCCAAATCTCATAATAACTAATTTGTTTCCATAAGTTCACTAGGTCCGGACGAATAAGGATTCCTCTCGCAATTACGTTAAGCTGTCTATTATTTTCGAATCCATCTTTGGAAGGATATGGATCGCTATTTAAATCTAATTGATACGCTTTTGTTCTAGGAGGAAATGGAACGAACCGTTTATTTAAAATCAAATCTTCTATATCTTTCAAATTCTTTCTCAACATTCCGGGAGCGTAATTTATCACGTGAGGGCCTGCGGAGAGGAAGTGGAATAACTCCATATCATTACCCTTTGATGGTAAGGTCTCATTCATATTAGCTAATTGTTTGTACCCTTCATCTAATAGATAAGTGAACACGAATATGGGTAGATTGCTCGTCCATGGAGATTTGATTTTTTGTTGGAAAGCGCGAATTCTATCCGCATTAAGTTGACCGACATTATGCTCTATTTTGAGCTCTATCAACTTTTGATCGTATTTTCCAAAATGCATAAGTAACCTTTGAATAAAATATCTTGATATTGGAACTTTTCTCGTAATTAAGGGGATGGCCAGAAATGACGTCATTTAGACGGGGAGGGTTAAGACCATGTTACACATTTTCCATTTTAGACACTTGTAGTTAATATAATTCTAGCCAGAATTATGTTTTAATTTTACATTTCCTAAAATGAATGATGACATAGGGGGCCAAAAATCCTAAAATTTAAATTACGTCATTTCTGGCCATCCCCTAATGTCTTGCATACTGGGATATCTATAAAAGTAGGACCCAATCGCACAGCGTGGAATAATGCGTGAGATTTTCCATAACGTACTAGCAACCATTCTGTTTTGGCGTAAGCATCTTTCGAAATGACAGACCAATTTCGACAAGATAATGCCAAATTAAGTGGGAAGTCTATGTATTTATATAATTTATCTTAATTTCATATTCAAAATTCTGGAAATATTGTTGCATTTTAATAAATTAGGTAATGGTTGTAGCACAAAATTTGAGAAGATAAAACCGATGCATCTAGATAAAAACTAAATATGAAAAATTTTTTTGGTCAATAAGTATTTTTGTTCATGAACTACCTCCTTTTTATAAAAAAAAATTAGGGAAATATCCTGGGTCATCCCTGAGTCAGGACCGAGTAACCAGTGATTTCGGGATAAAATTTTATCTAGCCTATTTTAGGCATGTGAAAGAAAAAAGGAAATTATTAGTTGATCATTTCTCAGAGTCAGTGTGGCATAGTATTAAAAAAAAAATAAATAAAAAGCACTAGTATTCCGTTTCTCAAAAAAATGGCAAATAATTTTGGTAATTAAATGAACGTAAAAAATGGATTTGTAACACTTATAATATGATTGTGTCTTTGTTGCTCGAAAAAATTCAAAGTAATCAAAAGTAATTAGAATTTCCCTTTAGCAAACATGGGTTCTAACTTTGAAAACTTTGAAAAAGCGGTAAAAAAAAAAATTTGACTGAGATTTTTTATATTAAAAAAAATAAATGTAACTAATTTTCTTTACAAACTGCTTAGTTGAGGGAATTAAACGTTTTGAGCGCTTTTTAAAGAAATTGTTAATAGTAATGCTTTGCATAATATAAACAAACTAAACAAAAACGATGTAAGAATTTTTAAAACTTTATTTGGGGTCTAAATACTTTATCACCCTAGTAATTTTAAACCCTCGGAATAAATCCCGACTCTCATGAATGAAAAAATTTCTGAGCGAGAATAGAATTGTATAAAATAGTAATAATACTAAAATATTAGTTTAAATCAATTTATAGAACGGAGAAATACTGTATGTGAAATATAATGTCAATTATATAAATCTATTTTCAAAATTAAAGCTGCTTTTAATGTCGATCTGACTGTCGAGTGTCGAGTATCTCTTTATCATACTTCAATTTTTTTGTTTTATAAAAAAACCGCAGTAAATATACCTGCAAGAAGTAATACACGAGAATAACACAGCCATCTGAGTAAAATTCATAGCTCCGAGTTGCCTTTAACAATCCTATTGCTAATTAGTTAACACTACATACATATATTATATATTACATAAGACAAATAATCCAAGAAAAATTTTTTATTTATATTATTTGTGCTAAAATAAAAGTTTATAAAAATCATGTACTTACATGGACATATTCTAAATTTGTAATAACTAAGCATTTGATCGTTATATTAATAATTACCTAAAATCTTTTCTGACAAAGGGTTTCATCATAACAATACTTTTTTAACTTTTTTTTTTATCTCACCATTAAAGATATTTTCAAATCATGTTGTAATCATTGAGAACTTTAAATTACGATGTAGAGAAATTTTATTTAATATTTGTTAAACCGTTAGACCACCATATTAAATAATTTATTACGGAAGGCGAAATTCTTGCACTCTTTGAGTATTAGTTATTAAAAAAAAAAATTTATATAGCGTGAAGTTCGCTTTTTTTCGTTTTTATTTGGCGCGACGCATGCGCCGTCAGCCTGACACATGTCTGGCGGACATGTGTTAATGTGTTTCAAGTTAATAGAGTTTCGGTAAATACCGAGCCGAACCGCAGTTACACAATTTCAGCATCAGGCCAGTAGTATCGGTTCCACGATTTACCGAACCGAGCTACGCCGGGACTATGATAATTTAGTTCTTAAAGTTTCTTTCACCTCACTTCAGAATAATTTATGTACTAGACGCGCATAAACATTAAATATAATACGAGATATTAAACAATAACATTAAATTTCCAAATTGTATAATTATAATTACGAAAAGTGAGTAAAAATTTATTTTCATTTGGATCTGAAAGAAACGACATACATATTTTTTTTTAATTTTTTTGCATTTGAAGAAATCTCGGATGGGCGTTGGGCGGTAATAGTGATACATTACAATACTGTTGTTAAGTAACATAATCAATTTTATCAATTAATAAAAATAAAAATTCAAAAGAGGGCGGTAAAATTCTATAACCATACAATATAATTTTTCAAGAAAATGAATGCTAAATTAGTATAATTAAATAAATTCGCGTATACAGTATAGTAAAAAAAATTTTTTTTATGAAAGGAAAATACTTGTATATGATTCAATTGATTCATATACCATATAATGTGAATTTTGAAATCAGAACGAAAAATTTTTTTTTTTTTTTATTCTATCAGCTTACAAATTAAATTAGAATATATAAAGACGCATTAATAAAATAAGAATTTAAAAGGATAAAAATGTTTAAATCCGGTTGAAACCAATGAGTCATCATGACTGCTCTTGGTAAAATAAAATGATATGCTGAATTTATAATTTAGGCGTCCTTTGAATGATTTCTTTTTGATTAATTTATCGAATGAAATTGTATTTGTCATATGTTGAAACGTTTACCAAATGAAATTTTCATTTTATTATTTTATTTTCATTGTTGAAGTTATTTATATTTATTTCGTACAACAGCATAAAAAGGAAATGATTATCAATTAATTCTTTGGAACTCATCCATTTTTCTATCAATTATTAAAAGGAAATTAACGTTTAGAGGAATTATTAGCAACTTTGATTTCTATAATATATTAATAAATTGTGAACATTTTTCACTTTTTTTTTGAATCAAATAAAGAAAATTTCTAACCATATAAAAAGAGAAAATAATTTCTTTTTTTTCATACGAAATCGAAAATTTCATGCCCATATATAAAGTAAAAACTAAGATAGTTAATCATAAGTAGTACATTTTTTTCTTGGCATTTCCCGTGATAATCATATATAATAAGTAAATTTTATCGCCTATGTATTTCCTTTGATAATCATATACTGTATAAATAATTTAATAGTAATTTTTATCGCCTATGCATTTTTGTTTGTTTTTATTTAGTAATTTAATGATGCATTGTATAATTCAATAATGTAAGTGCGTACATGTATATTAGTGGACTGGGATTAGGGGGACGATTCAGAGTGTATCATACGATTTAACAGAATTATAAACTTAAAATATTAGAACGAATCGCGGAGAAATTCAAATTATCGCTAAAATCGGTTAATACCCTTTTGCTCATCACGTGATATGACATGCAAATTTTAAAGATAGTAACTGAAACTAATAGTATCAATCTTGCTAAGCCACTTGCAGATGAGTTTGAGTCGCTAATAAAGTTAATTATCCTGGCTAAGCTACTTGCAGAGTTTGAAGTCGCTAATAAAGTTAATTATCCTGACTAAGCCACTTAACAGAGTTTGAAGTTCCACGTCTTTGATTTCATTATGATGGAGGAACGTAAGATTTCGACCATAAATTTCCAGCTAATTCAAATTTTAAAATAATTATTTTTGAACCATTTTTACCAAAAATAAGTTGATTTTGGTTCTTATTTAGTTTTTAAACCTTTATTTAGTTTTAGTTTAGCTTTTTTTCATTTTTTTTTTTATCTTTTATATTTGTATAGTTTTATGCATATATCCCATAGTGCGAGTTTTTAAAATAATTTCCTTAGCCAAAAGAGTTACTGCATACTGTTTTTTCTGTTCATTAAAAAGTTTGTATAATAAAGAACACGAAATTCCAAAAAAAAATTTTTTTTATTAATAACAAAGCTCGTAAAATTAATTGTAGATTGCCAATCATTTTCTCCTATACTATCACTTAATAAAAAACGAAGCGTTACATAGTCTAAATTTGGGTGCCGAAATCGAAATAGCTTGGATATTCCGAAACTATATTTCGGCATATATCAAATCCCAAATATATTTCGGCATATATAAGTTTCGACGGACAGGAACTAGACTGTGAAATCGGTGGTCCAGTGAACAAAATCAAGTAACAATGATTATTTTATAAACCGTCAGTTAGTAATGTTTAGTATGTAAGATTTAATTTATAATACATTAATGTAAGTTTTGACTTCTTTTTATATAAAGTACAACTAATGTAAGTAAATAGAAGTAACCTAAAATCATTTATTATATTTGCTAATCATTTTAAAATAAATAAATTTTGAACTACTATATTAAAACTGAGAATCAGAAAATTTGTCATTTGGGAGATGTATCATTATTTAACGGGAGAAAATGATCGGTAAAAGTGGCAATCTTGCGTTCTTTCCAAAGTAAAAAGTTCATGAATAAAAGACTAACACATAAGCAATTTGATAAAAATGTAGATTTGACGTGTTATTATTTTATTTTTATTTATATAGACGATTGTGTTATTATTTTCTAAATAAAAATTTGTGTATTACGAAAATCACGTGAATTTATATATGATTGCGTAAAAAAAAAAAATAAAAACCGTTTTAATAAAATAAACAACTTTTATTAAGTTAAAAGGTTGAATATTCAACTACATTTTTTGTTATTTTCCATTTAATAAAATCAACATATTTTTGGATTATTAAAAAATTAGCATCATTTGTTGTGTTTTATAATTGTAAACATGTTTTAATTTAAAAATATAGTTAAATATCTTTTAAATAAATGACTAGTAAGTGGCGGATCATTTTAATTAACCGGGCCAAAAGTAATTTAAATTTTATAATCACGTGATGATCTGGGATCATTTTTATTGGCCCTTATTTTAGCCTATAAACGGTTAGTATCTATTTGGCGTATTGTTGCACAAATTACCCAAATCGATATTTTCATTTTCTAAAAGATGGCTAATAATAAAAATAAAAATTTCGGATTAATTGGATTAATTGAAAAAAATTTTTTTATTTATATTATGCATATTCATTATAAATATTTGGCTGAGATCGCATGACATAATAATTATCCATTGTAAATAAATAAATAAATAAATATCAAAACTTAATTCTTATTTAAATGGTTGCAAATACAAATTAAATTTTTAACTTTTGAGTATCTTACAAAAAGAGTTAAAAAAAATCGGACGGGCTGATTCCTTTATAACCATATTGGGTATCATCAATAACGATTTTACGGGACAATATGCCCGTAAAATCTTTGAAAAATATGTAATCTAGAAAAAATGAATAAATTAATTATTATAATTGTGCATCGTGTACCGTAACAAATAAACAATATTACAAGTTAAAAATCAATA